CTCTATGATAGCACAGCCCACAGGCTCTATGATAGCACAGCCCACAGCACAGCTAACACTAACAGACACCCTGTCCTGTAGCTTAAGACACTGATGTTGGCATTTCATCTAGGCTCCACCCTACAGTTACCTGGCAATAGCCAGGTGTGCCTGACTCAGTATAAAGGGGCTGCTTGCCCCTCCTCTCTCTTTTCTCCTCTCCTCTTGCTCCCTTACCCTCTTCTCCTTTTCTCCCTATTCCCCTCCCCCTCCATGTGCTCATGGCCAGCCTCTACTCATCTCCCCTCTCTCGCTCTCTCTACCTTTGTCTCTACTCCCTCAATTCCCCTCCCCATGCCCTAAATAAACTCTATTCTATACTATACATCGGGTGGCTGGTACCTCAGGGGAAGGGATGCCTCAGCATGGGGCCCACAGAGGCACCCTTCCCCCACACCATACCGTGCCTCCACCAAACATATCCTTGGCTTCCTTTTCTTTTTTATAAAACACAGCACCTGAACACTCAAGACTGAAAGACCCTCTCTAACCTCCCCTAGACTGAAAGACCCTCTCAACTTCCCCTAGACTGCCTCTTTCTCAGGGACTGTAACCTAGGAAGGCTTGTGAGGGTCTTTATTAACTTATCACTCTGCTGAGTTTTTCCTGGAATCTTCATGGTTTTTGTACAAGGGTCCTCATAAATTATGTATCCAGGGCATGGAAGCATACATCAGTAATCTCAACAATGGCCCATGCTGAGGCAGGAGGATAACAAGTTCAAAGCCATCCCAGGCTACCGTGATCGTCAATTTCACTTGTCAACTTGATGAGATCTAGAACCGTGGTTGATGGGCATCCATGCACACCTGTGGGGGCTTATCTTGATTAGAATTATTGAGGTGGGAAGACCTGCCCACTGAGGGCAGCACCATTCCCAAGGCTAGGATGGTAGAGTACACATAAAGAAGAGAGTGAGTTGAGCCCAGACACTCTGCTGCCTGCTTCTTGACTATGACTGCAATGGCACCTACTGCTTCCATCTGTCACTGTGACTCTTCTGCCATTTAATGAACCGCAACCTAAGACTGTGAGCCAAAAATCCATTATGTTGCATCTGGTGGGGTATATTTGAGCAACAGGAAAAGAAACGAAGTAAGGCAGCTATATAGCAAGACTCTGGCTTGGGGAAAAATATATAGCTACCCTGCTCTGCAAGCTGCCTTTGTTGAGGACAGCCATGTCTTATAGCTGCTGTTGTCTTGGGAAGGCAGAGCAGACAGCATCAAGGAATACTATCTAAGCTACCTTCCATCCCCGTATTGATTTTTTTCTTCTCTTATTAGATGCTGATAACTATTCAGTCAGTCAATGTTTATCAAGCACCATCATGGATCAGGCAAGGATAAACATAGATCTGAATCTGATCTAAACTCTCCCAGGAGATATCATGGCTAGGAGCAGACATCAGATTTGTACTTAATGACTTTGAAAAGGAAATAGGAACACATTGAAGAGAGTTATTATTCTCAGAGAATGGTTTCTGAAGTTCCAAGTTAAACACATTTAAACACAAACACCTCCTCCTCGTGCCCAGGCACGTTCTCTCCTGCGTCAATTGGACAAAGCGCATTCGAGGGTGTCTTCTAGTCCATTCACTAGCAATAACATAAGAGAGTCAAACTGTTGTGGCTCTATTAGCCAACTTTGTCATCTTGTGGCTTGGGCAAATATCAGTTAGGGACTCAGCAGAGCTCTGGGAAGTGTCATACTGCCGACTGAGGAGAATTTCACAAAGAGACTGTTTACAAATTTGTGGGCAGGATTTAAGGGTACACAAGAGGAATGATGAGACACCGGTGATTGGTGACACCAGATGACCCTCTGGGGAAATGATGTGTAGAGGGTCTTTTTAAGAAAGGAACACAGCCAAATCTATGACAGAGATCACCTCATCTGCCACATCCACTGGTCTCCTGCCTTCTGTGAGCCAAGTCCACAGAGAGGGAAACGGAGACTGGCCCTGCCGGCAGCAACCACCGCCCCCCACCCCCGCATCCACCCCCAGGGCCTCAGCCCCTGCCTGGCCCCCACACCCACCCCCAGGGTCCCAGCTGGGAAAGTAGAGTGGAGATGAAATGGAAGCAAGGTTTGACCAAAGTCTGTCTCTTTCTTTCTTTCTTTCTTTCTTTCTTTCTTTCTTTCTTTCTTCCTTCCTTCCTTCCTTCCTTCCTTCCTTTCTTTCTTTCTTTCTTTCTTTCTTTCTTTCTTTCTTTCTTTCTTTCTGTGGACATTTTTGCCTCATGCCTACAGGGTATGTTTCTTTCCATTTAATATGAGGCATGGCTGTGTCACACAACAAATGCAAGGAATTATTTAGGGCTCTGATGGAATTCTCTATGGTGTACAGCAAGGGTACAAGGAAATAGGGTTCTTGAGGATTACTCTACGATTGAGGCACAAAAATTTGGAGACAGATCACAGGGAAGGGTTTCTATGGCTAAAGGCCTCCAAACACAACAAGGTGTTTTTGGAAACATTAGAGACATGTCAAACTCAGCAGCAGCACTGAGCCAGGGCTAGCACACAGGAGTGACTTCACGTGTTGGTGTTTGTGGATCCCTCTTGTTAAATGTAGGATTATCTTTCTGCAACCCGATACTCCTCGTGTCTAGCTGAGAGCTGACCGTGAAGGAGCTAAGACACAGCTGCCCCAGTGGATAATGTGGCCAAGGAATCACAGACGGGGGTCTGCTAGGAGCACACAGACAGCAGTAAATCCTCTCAGATGTGCTCTCGCATACTGCTTTGCTTTAGCTGTTTAAAAAACATTTCACATAAAGCAGTGTTCTTATTGGAATCAATCTGACAGCAGGTCGTGATTATTTCCCCATGGAAACCACTCGCTTTTATCTTCTCTTTCAATTACCGTTTGTCTTAATTCTCCACTGCACACGTCAACAAACTGCCTTTCCCAAATTCCCACAAACGGAATTCTACCAGCACCTTCAAACACCCGGCAAGTTTAATAGAAAAAGAGTAAAACCCATAATTTTCTTTAAAAAAAAAAAACCCATATGATGATGGTTTTGCTCCACACAATTTCCTAAATGCCAGGGTGCACCGTGTGCCTGTTATCCTTGTGCTTCTAATATCAAGTGACCGACAACACCACCTCCATTAGTCCTAGGCAGTGGGGCTGTGGATTCCCAGGTCCATCTGTCCATCAGTGGACACCTGAGGCAGGTAAACAGCAGCAGGTGGCTGTGGGCAGAATCTCTTTGTGTTAGTTTGTCTGTTTGTTACCTGTGTGGAAATGTCAAGCACAGCATTACAATGGGTTGTTACACAGAGCCCACCCCAGGGAGGGAAGCCCCTCAAGCCCTTTAAAATCCATGGTCTTGCTTTGTATGACAGACACCAGACTGTCACTAGAAGCAGTGGCCGGGTGTGTGTGTGGGGGGGGCCTGTCACATGAGCTTCTCAGAAGGGCACCTCAGGAAAAGGAGCCCCAATCTTGTATTCTGAGACTCCATTTAGCAGTACTTTGAGGTTACATCTTTAAAGGAAGGCAGATGCTT